TATGGAGAAACAGATTAGTGAATACGCCTGGTGTCCAACACTTTCTTGTAATCCTAACATGTAAGTGAGCATTTTCTCTCACTGCAAGGTCAATTCTTGGATGCCTGGCTGCAAAACAGAATTAGGAAAGGAGTTATAGTTCACATCTTGACTTTTATTTTGTTCTCTTACTGTTCTAATCAAAGTCTTGATTGTTGGGGGTTTTATATACCTTGTGATCACCAGATCCAGTGGTTCTGGTTGCTTCTCTAGTTCGTATTTATGTGAAAATCTAACTGGTCTTAATAATCGGATAATACCTCTCAAAATTGTGGACATCTGTAAAGCTGAAAGGTCAAAGCAGTCTTGCAGCACATTAGTTTTAGGCTCAACACACTCAGTTTTCCAGCATTTCACATGTTTCATCCATTGTGGTTTTTTTCCCACTCTTCCTTTTTAGAGAGAATCTAAACTGTATCTTCCTTTGAAGCATGGTGTATTTTAACTAAGACTTGCCCACTCAGTAAAAAATTCAGTAAAATGTCAACATGAAATTTGCTGTGTACTTCCCACTACTGCTCTCTATCTGAAAAGTCTCCCCATTTGGTTTTGGGTTTCCATTTGCCTTTACTGGGTAGTCTGATGCTCATTTCTCTGTCCACACCCGCCTTCTGAACTACTTTTCTACTTCAAGGTCATTTTGTATTTCAATTTTGTGAATTCGCAAAAGGCTTTTATGTGGGATCTGTTGTAAAAAAATTTCCCTCTGAAAATGGCAGATGCAAAATCACGCCTACTATAATGAAGCAAAACTATAATTCACTCAGCTAAGTCAAGCACATCTGTCACCTTTAACATCTAATCCTAATTGTGGTCTGTTTATCCAGTCCCATTTCCCCTCCCCATTCATTGAGGGCTGCTGTATTGCAGCTGGCTGTGGCAATCACCATGCTGAATGATGGAAGGTCTCCTACTGCATTTTTGTGGTCATCCAAACCTTCAAATGTCATTAAAGTGATGACCAAATCTGGATTTTGTCCACAGTCAGTCTTTAATCACACTTTTAGGTGCTGCAAAGTTTATTTAACCCCATTTACCCTGAGACTAATAACAGAAAGTCGAAAAGTGCAAAACGTAAGTTCAGACTCCGTAGATTTACTCTGTGCTTACTGAAACTCTGTGCTTACTGAAACAGCAGCCCATGAAAGAAGGAGAAAGCAAAGTGTGCTGTGTCCTTTTACATAAGTTAGCTTTGGGATGGTGGTGTTTGAAGCAAACCCAATGACCTGCTGTGGGAAGACAGAGCCCCAAAAACAGCATCCCCAGCTTGGATTCTGGAAGGGAATCAGATGAAGCGGTGTTAGTAAGCCACAGATGAGCTTAGCATTTCCTACTATGGTGCAATCCATCCCTACACCAGCTGTAGGTTTTAGGGAAAGGTCTTTGGTGTGCCCTGACAGCATACTGATGGCTCTGTGCCACAGCTGTGTGAGCAGAGGATTTCAAGCACCTGGTAGAACATTTCTCGGATCAATATGTAGCTGGTTTCCAGGCTAAAATAAAAAGCTCCTTGCCCTATTCCTCATCTTTTCATTCACACAAGTGAGACATTGGCTACTCAGAGCAACCTAGGGAAGACTCAGAAAAAAGCTCCTCAGGTAAAGAAACCTTTCCATTACACTTCCCAAACCAGATGGGAATCAGCTGTTCGAGGGCAACCTTTCCAGACCAGGGTAATAAAGGAAAATTGAATAGCCCTATTCACAGCCTCAGCTAACAAATAGGTAGCATGGTGTGTAGCAAAACTCTTGCATTAACCTCCCCACACTCACCCTACATTCACAACCCACTTGCTGCCCAGAGGGGCTTTGCAGGGTGACTACAGAGAGTAACTGCATCTCTGTGGCATCTTTTTGCTGTGTGAGCGGGTCATGATTTGAAGATGTCAAGGTACAAGAATCAGGCAGTGCAAAAGGGCTTGCAGAGACTTGTAGTTAGAGTTAGTGTCACAGTGATAATGGAAGAATCTGAACAGGAAAGAGAAGTTCCCAGCTGCGACAGAGAAATGAAGGCACACACTTGTCCATCAGCAACTCGCCTGGTGCTTCATTTGCATATTATAGCCATGTGAGCTATTAATTCCACCGTGATTTCCCATGAAACTTGGGAGTCACAATATCAGTTTTATCTGACCAGTCATTTTAAAACATTTTAGGAGTTACTCTTTAGAACCTGAAATACCTGCACTTGGTGCCTATTGGGACAATACTGTGTTAAGCTCACCTTGGAGGGTCAAGGGATGTGCCCACATATGATCTCTTCTATCTAATTGCTGTGGCAGTAATTACCCTTTTGTGGTTCTTAGACCTCTGGTCTGTAGCTATTTCTATGATTTGAGAAGTGACTGCTGCTCTGAAAAATTTCAAGGCAACTTCCCCTTAAAAAATAAAAGTAATCAGATGGGGTTTTTTTCTCCTCTATTCATCTGTAATAATACATTAAGTAAAAAAAAAAAAAAAAAACAAAAAAAAAAAAAGTTACAGATGCTTTTGTAGCAAAATATATTCCATAACCCCACATTTGGTTGAGGCAGTTTTTCAATCAAAAAAACCCAAACAGAATACACAAGAAGGTATTATTCTTGCTGACACAAGGATAATAGAACAAGAATTCATGAACTATGTTGAAAATATCTGCCAACACGGCCACAGGTGTTTTTAAAAAAATAAAAAAAAGATGAATGAAAGTCTAAGATCCTATTTTCATGATACCTTGTTTTCAGAACCAGAACTCCTGGTTCTTCAGCAGTTGCAGCAGGGCACTTAGCACACATGTTCTAGTTTCCTCTTTTGTCAGCGATGAGAGTCGCAGAGTGAATCTCATCTGCTTGTTGACCTAGTGGACAGCTCCTCCTGAGTGCGTAAGATGACCAGGTTCAATGGAAAGCAGTTTTGGATGGAGCCACTGGATCCAGTCCTCCTAGCAGCTCTCACACGAGATCAAGGATGCAGCTTCACATCCTGCTTCATGCTCTTCATTATCCTGCAGTGCACTTCCGTGGCTATTGAACGTCATAAGCTGTGCTCTTCCATCTGTCAGGAATCCCTTGGAGCATAGCCGTTGTGATGTGGCAGCTCAGGAGGGATCATGCTGCCACGAACAGCAGCTTTTCTCTTTCTTCACAGTTCACTGGTGCTGTGGTCCTTGAAATAACCTCTTAAAAGAAGATAAAACATTGTATTCAGTTGTAAGGGAAGAAGGAACTCTGACCATTGCCAATATTCAGATTTCTTGTGTGAGGACACGAGACACCAACTCTCAAACAAGTGGCAAGTCGTAGGACTTGTTAACTGCCTGTGGTACTGCTCCTATAGAAAGGGGACTCCCTTTGGTTTAGAATGGCAGAGAGCAATTAGGGCAGTTTTAAAACTGGGATTTATTTTCCCAGTGCCAGCCCTTCACTTTTAGCACTGCAAGGGTATGATTATGGACCCTGTGCCAAAATGTCTTCATCAGTGGTTCTGCACAGTTCTCTGGAGAAAAATCCACTGATACAGAACTAGGTATTTTTTATTTATGTTTTACAATTTATAGCCTGGTTTGTTTCAGAGAGGTGCAGAAGAAGGCAGAGCACCAACAAATGTCAAAGGCACAAGTGCAGCTGGTAAAAACTGCTGGACAAGCCCCCTCCACTGAGCTCTGAGAAATGCTGTCCTGTTTGCCCCACAGGCAACCAGCCAAAAACTGGCTGCTGAACACACAGCTGGTTCAACTCTCTCCCAGAGTAGGCACACAGAAGGCTACTCTAGCCCCAAACCTCTTTTCAGGCCATGTGGCAAGCTGAAGCCATTCATTCTTTTGTGCAGCTGCTTTACAATACAAAAGGAACTTTATTATGGATTTTACTCCATACTAACAGAAAGCGAGTTGAATTCCCTTAGCCAGTTTTTGGGTATACTGAATGCATCTCTGGTTTGTAAAGGAAACTGATTATTTTGATATCATATCACCTAATCCATCAAGCAAGAAAATACAGTGTGGTTTTACATGCTACCCTAAGAAGCAATTAATATCCTTCATTATTTTAACTTTCTCCAGTTAAGCACTTCTAACAGCATATTCTCTATTTCAAAATCAATGCCATAGTCCAGTGGCAAAGAAGGAAATTATTCCAGTGGCTCATCTAGCTCCCTGGGCTTGGTTATCATTGCAGCGTCTAGGTGCTATGTCTAACTACAAAGAAAATGCTTATGATAGGTTTAATTTATGAGATTACCTTTGGAAAGCCTCTGTGGTGTTTTCTGGAGTTCAAAGCCAAGGCCACCACCCAAATTCTACTTTAAACCTGTACTGATTCCTTCATCCAGTTCTAGCTGCAAGGACAACTTTTTAGGCCACTGGCAGATGATCACTGATACATCTGACTGTTTCCTCTCCTCGTTTATCTGCTGGAGGCTCTCCTGCCTGCCATGCCTCAGCTCCTCCAGCTCACAGTTTTGCTTCTCAGCTCCAAAACACCTCCAGCCGTGGCTAAGCTGACACACTTGGCTTTCTCCTGGAGTAGCGAAGGTGCTGGCACGTGCTCCTTTGTTTAACTGCTCTGTGGCTCTGACCAACAGAAGATGCAGCCCCTCTCTTACCTTGGGCTGTGCAGCAGCAAAAGGGATTCCAGTTGTTCTTTCAAAGAGCTTGCAGTTTTACACAATGGTGGTCACAGAATTCTGGAGACTTTTGAAGTATAGACCAACAAAATGCCGTCCTGTATTAACAGCAATGCTTACCAAGAGTAACTCTTTAAGTTTAATTTTATTTTTGTTAAGAGGAGGAAGCAAGTCATTCTGAGGGATTAGTTAATAGTGAAAGAATTTTTTTTCTTTTACTCTTTTAGATATTTATTTAGATAAATATCTAGGGATCACAATTCTTTTTTAATTGTATCTGAGGATGTTGGATGTATTTCTGAACTTCATAGAGAGGTTTCACTGCTATTTCAACATCAATCTTTATTTCTCTATCTACAGCGAGTGCTGATTTCCCATACAACGGTCAAGCTATAGGAGATGGAGTTAACAGGAACTCTGCTATTATTGGAGGTAAGAAAGCCATCTACTTTTCTAATGTACTTTGCAGTATGACTCTGGTGGCTGAATTGCTGTTAGTAAAATACTCAAGGTGTCTGCTAAGAGGCGACTGTGGGAAAATGACACCTGAACAAAGTTAATCAATGTTTGCGTAAGTCTGTTCAGACCCATTGTCGTAGTGAATAGTTTCTTCTTGCTTAATTTGTCCCCTCAGATTCAGTTTTAAGCAAATTAAAATACTGATATTCATAATCCACATATCCCCATCCATGTGGGGAGCAACTTTGTAGTAGTTACTTGTGTTAACAGAGTAATTGATTTATATGAAATAGCAAGGATGCTTTTCCAGCTACAGCAGAATCAGCATAAATCTATGTCAAACACTATTTGCTCTGCCCTTGACAAAAATCCCTTGTGATCTTGCATTCTCTTTTTAGGGCCCAAGTTCTGCCATAACTTACATGCCAGATTTCCATTCGGTGTTATAGGTGACATTAAGTAATACCAGAACTGGAACTGTGAATCAGCATTCCACTGAAAATATTCTGGCCAGATGCTGCCTGAAATAAGGGTCTTGATTAATTTTATGCACACATGCAATTTGCTCTTTCCTGTCCCACAGTGTGGAAGTGTTGCACTGTAACTATCCCGGGAAAACTTTGCCATTTCATCCAATTCTGAAGGCATATATAAAAAAAGAATAAATTAAAGATCAGTCTACTAGCTTTCAGTCAGTTCTAAATACATATAAAATGATATACTGATGGTGGATTTTGCCATGTAAGGAAACACTGAGTATATTACTACATATTAATAGAATTTCTTGATTCTTTTCCATGGCCCCCTCAAGGGTCTATGTTTCCATATCCAGGTTTAGATTAGTTGCTTTAGTTTTGATTTGCTATATTATTTTTCCTTTCTAATTTGTATTTTGATTATTACTTATAAATTTTCCTCAATATTTTGAAAGTTCACAATACCAGAAGGATACCATTGCATTCCTCAGAAAAATTCATGCCACACCTGAACAACCTGTTTGTCCAATGCATCAGTTAATGTAAAGTGCCATAACATAATTCTGGCTGATTACGATTTTTTTTTAAACTGACAGTTTTATAATATCTTCATCCTTGAAGATTTTCATGCCTGTAGAAAATGGCCAAAAAAGAAACAGTGTTGTTTTATCACATAGACACCTATGCCTGGCAGCATAACATTCATGACACTTTTCCATAACAGGGTTGAACCCCAAACAGACCATTGCAGGGAGAGCAATTAAGGGTAGAACTGATGATAAAGCAGTTACATCTGCAATTATGTGGAGCCAGTCCTCCAAAAGTGAGCCAAGCCAATTTTCAGGACATGTTGAGGAACTATGATAGGTCTTTACAGCCACTGACTAGAAAGTATACATCAGTGACTCATCTTCAAAGAGTTGCCCTGGCTGTGACACATCACCATTTCACCCCACTGATTTGGGAGGGCTCAGCACCCTCTGCCTCATAGTCAGAAAAGTTCAGATCTGTAAGTGGGTATTAATGTTGAAGTTTACCTATGGGATGAAAGACACTAGCAGACTTCATTGAGTAACATTTTGCATACAGCAAAAACTGTGTATAAATATCAGAGCAGTGGAAACTAAGTGACTGGGCAGTTGGGTGACGCCTCACTGCCGAGTTTTGGGATCCTTTCTTTGCGTCCAAGTCTGTAGCCGGTCTCACCAGCATCATCTCTTCTTTCCTGCTGTGTGTAGGCGTCATCGCAGTGGTGATCTTCACCATCCTCTGCACCTTGGTGTTCCTGATCCGCTACATGTTTCGCCACAAGGGAACCTATCACACCAACGAGGCCAAAGGGGCAGAGTCAGCCGAGAGCGCCGACGCCGCCATCATGAACAATGACCCCAACTTCACGGAGACCATAGACGAGAGCAAAAAGGAATGGCTTATCTAAGCCTGCGGGGAGGGGGCCTGGGGTGGGATATGAGCTGGGCCAGGGTGGGACTGGGATGACTCTTGCAGTGGAGAGAGAACACTCTGTGTTGGACGCTTGAGCACACATAGGGTAAAAAGATCAGCACAACTGGTGGAGCAAGTGACAGGAAAATACCACTGAGACTGGAGAAAAAAAAAAATAGTATCTCAAGCATTTAAGAAAAAAAATATTTTTTAATATTTATTTACAGCAAATTGCCCCTTCTGTATCCAAACAACTACGACAAAGAGCAGTTTTGCAGCTTCAGCACTGGTTAAAATTTTCAGTAATACCTGTCTATTTCTCTGTGTGTTTAGAGATGTTCTGGGTACTTGTGACAAGAAACGGGGCTGGTTTTTTACATTTTTTAAAAGCTGTTTAAAATGTGGGTAGTTCTGTCCTGACAGCAAGTGGCAGTCCTTTCTTCCCAGCATTGTGTTCCTTCATGGCTGACCACTTTCTCACACACTGCCCTCAGCCCCACACCTTGACCATAAGACCATTCATTTTAGTGGTGTTGATCAGGGGGGTTCGGGGCTGGGGGTGGGACAGGGGCGTGAGGACTAAGGCAAATCTTACTCACCAGTGTCTCAACACATCATCAACCCATGTCATCCCTGGCAGGACCCACCTTCTTGACCCAGGCACTTTGTGGATTGCGTGCAATTGTCATCAACAATGTAAAAATATTTTTATTACGACTACTATTACTACTAGAGAGGACGACCGTAAAGCACAGGAAGCTGTAGGTGGTTTTTTTTATTATTATTTTGTTGGTCTCTGAGGGAGGATGATGCTGTGTGAGTCTGTAGACCTAATCTGTTCCTGTATCTTTGGCTGTGGCACTGGTGACCTGAGGCATGTGCCAGTTAAACTTGGCTCTGCCTGTGGCATCTTGGCATATACTGTACACTGTAGTAGGGAATTAGAGCCGGTCTTTGCTTCTGTTTCTTCTTAATAGACTGTCATAGAATAATTAGTACAGGTCTAGTCCATGCATTTAAACACACAGGCTTCACATCATACTTTTTTCCCAACTCAAGAGTAGCAAGTTATTCCTTAAATCCCTTGTTTCAGTCCCTTTGCAAGGAAAGCCTTTGCTGCCAGTGTTTGCACAGTCAGGAAGGTGAGGCGAAGGAGGCTTGGAAACTCTGCCACCAGAGCACATGAGAAACACACAGCACACAAGGCAGAGTTACTTCTCAGCACAGAGATTTGCCTGAACTATTTTACTGTCTTTGTAAGGCATTTTTAAAAATAGCAAGGCCAAGTACAACAATGCATCCCATTTTCCCTGTCAGACCACAGAAGTTGCAGGTGTTGCCTGAGCAGCAGGCAGGCAGCTAGTAGGAAAGGCAGAAGGGCAGCCTGAAGACCTAATATCCTTTGGTGGCAATAACAAAGCTTTAGTTTGCCCTCTGTAGAGGAGAGTGGTTCTCCTGTGGTCTGAAGGAATTTAAGGCCTTAATGGGCAGGTATTGCAGCAGAACAGAATGACAGAATGAATACACTGCAGGACAATTGCCATGTGTTAAAAGAACAGAAACAATACCAAGAATTTCCTCTTAAAAGTTTCTATGCTTGTGACAGTCCTAGATTTGCTTTATCTTTAATATTGCTGAGTTTAGTATGCACAGATTTAACCCATTTTTCTGTACAAGAAAGTTTATTTTTCACCTAAATGTGCAGTCTACTACACTTCCATTATTCTGGTTGATGCTTTAAAATGAAAAGAAAAAAAAAAAAAAAGAAAAAAAATCATGTAGAGGAAAGAAAAAAGAAAATATTGGAGTCTTATCAGACAAGAAATTGATAAGCACAGTTTGGCAGACAGACAAGGCCAGATACTTTGGGTTTCAAGGATGGTAAAGTCCTTTTCTGAATTCATTGAACATAGATATGAGCAAATCAAACCCATTAATTTCTTCCATTTGTGAATTTGGAATTAGCATACAAAGAAGTTGCCAGTTTCAAAAAAAATTACTGTTTCTCAGGTAAGATGTGGCAGAGAGCTTCAGGTAGGCGTAAAAATTACCTCTGTCACTCTTGTGCTCTGCAGTGTTTTGCCTTGCCTCCAGTATTAACCTCTCCCTCTTTTGTCTGTAATCAAGCAGATGAGCCCTTATTCTTGTTTAATTATGGGTGTAAGATAAGTCCTCACTCCTTGGAGAATATCAGCAGGGCATGAATCTACCTTGCACCACTATTCAGCAAACTACGTAGCAATATGTCTTTGTAGGATTGAAAAGACATATGTCTTTGTAGGATTGAAAAGGCATTATCTTTTCTATATTACTTTATATTTAATTTGATTTTAGTGGTATTTTAGTCCACTCTGAAAAACATCCTTGCCTGCAACTTGAAATTACCAAGAGAAGTGAATAGAGTTTGCACAAATTGGGATTTGGTTTGAATAAAAAAAAAGTTACTAATCTGAATTTAGTGTCTGTGAGGAAGATCAGACTTAGATATCCTGAGAGACTAGAGTTCTCTGCTGTTTTAAGTGGGAGAGACAGATTTCACAGCCATAGTTCGAGTTTGCCAAATGGCTCAGCATGGCATTAGAAGGGAAAGATGGCTCGGTCTCCGTGTCTAACCAAGTCCTTTGCAAAGCAGGGGACAATTGTCTCTGGGTTGTGGTAGTGAGGCCTGTGACATCTATTCACTGAATTTTCTAAAAGATTACCAGCTAATCTTCCACAAACCTGAAAGCAAGAATTTCTGGAAAATAACCTTTGACCATTGCATAAGCAATAGTTATAAATTAGTGTCTTAAATTAAAAAAAACAGGGTTTAAATTTCTGAAACCAAGTCACAAGCATTTGTACCTCTCCACAGACTGGACACACTATGGACCTTTGGAAAGTTTCCTTTTCTGACATGTGAAATTAATTAGTGCTCTGTTAAAATGTTGGTAATCTTCACTCTTGTCTTATTTTCGCGATTCAGTCACTTTCATGATTCTAGAAGCTTTCAATTATTAGAATTCTTGTTTCTTCTTAAACTGGACCTTGGACATTATATTATCAATTAGCAGCTGGTCTCTGTATGTTTGGTGACTTTAGGTGAATTCCTGCCTGTCTGCTTTGTATTTCATTTCTGAGAATGGTATATGTTTAATTATAGGCAGTGGACATTCCGCAGCCTGGCAGTGAAGCAGGAGCAGGCTCAGAGAATTAGTCTGTGTATTTTGCTAGCACTATATCTATTCTGAGGATTTCTTCCTCTGCAAACCTGTCACTGAAGGCTGAAATAACATCCACAGTTTCTTTCACCCACTCTTACTTGTGCCAAAAATCCACGTTGTTTAACAGGTGCTATCCTTACACCTGTAGTGGGAAAATCTGTTGGAGGGGAGAGTGGGTCCTGCTTTTATAAAACTCTGTACGTTCCCCAAAGAATATTAAAATAATTGGTCTTTTAATACCTGTTTTTTAGCTCTTTCACCTATTTGAACTGTGCAGAAAAATGTAGCTTCTTGTACTGGTTTGGGAACCGAAGTGTCCCAGTTGTGTTTCTAAAATGTTCACTCCTGATTCCACAGGAAACAACGACAAAACTGCCACCAGCAGTGGAGAGAACAAAACTAGGATGGCGATTAGGGCTCTTAGTGTTAGTGAAATAATGTAAGCAATACTTTGGATTCTCATTCACAACACAATGCAGACCACCAGGTAATGAGACATGGAGCTCCAAAGAGCTGTAACAGTGGAGAACTTATTTCCATGTCAACCCAGCCTCAAGGGAAGTCTGCAATCCAGTCTGGCGGTTTTGAATCAAGCCTTTCACACACTACTTATTCCATATTTACTGATAGAAAATTCAGATGTATTAAATAGGCATATGTATCTTTAATTGGTACTGGAGCATTTCTGCTTTGTATTTTTTGTGTCTTAAACGATACCTGTACCTTTTATATCTCTTCTAGCAGTTATCACTTGAAAGGTATGGCAGCATTTTAATATCATGCTCTAGGGATCATGATATATGTGAAAGGATAGTCATCATAAATAATTCAGTAAGACTGCTGAAGCAGTGGTGTATACATGTAAGTTAATTGTACCGATAAAAATTCAGTATAATTAAAACAGTGTCCTTTAATAACAGGTGCATCTGATTTTCAGGGTATCTGTTGAAATGTGAAGCTATCTCAGTTTGACAAGCAATAGCTCTTAATATGGTTTCTCACATGAATGATTTTACACTCCATCAAGCATGGTCATCCTGAAAGGGTGTCATTTTTTAAAAGTGAAATCTAAATTATGTTAATCAGATGTCATTGTCCATCCTAGAGAAATTAAAGAAACCTTGCCTTCTAAAAGCAACAGCATGTAAATTAGAATGAAAGAAGGACAACGTGTTTGTATGCATTGTATCTTCTGTGAATGTTTTTCCTTTTAACTAAAGCTCTATTAGAAACCAGATCAGTAAATAACGAGGGGGCGGGGTGGAGGGGGGAAACGACGTTTTAAATGGTTTTAATCACCCTAACAGCTGTTTCCTCATGCTTTGTGTATTCTGGTCAATGTCTGAACTTTTGCCTTCTCTAGTACCAGGAAATCAATTTGGAAAGGACAGAAGTTGGAAAGGCCTCTTGAAAAAGACCCACACTACATGAAAAAAAGGGACTTCAGAATGCAGTTCTACATAAGAAGAGAGGGTGCTAAAACTAGGGTAGATTTATTGAAGTAATATGTTCCTCTTGCATCAGGGTTACGTGTTGTGGAGTGTACGTCTGTACTTGTTGAGGTGGGCTGAGTTTCTGAGAGCAGGGTTTGGATGAAAATTAAATGACTGCCTTTCTGCATTCTTTGCGTTTCTGATCCCTTCGCAGGTAGCACCAAGCAGTCTGCTATCCATTCTGCTCACATTTGTTATTGCAGCTTCACAAGGGTTACATACCACAAGTGACTGAGTGTGGGTTGTTTGTCTTCCTTAACTCTGTCCTTTCTGCTATGAATGAGAGCCTTTTATTGAAACCAACAAGAAAAATGTACGCCCAGTGCAACAGACTTGTGTCTGTTCCTTTTAATAAACTACCTTATCAGGCTTTAAAACATTTTTTATGACATGAAGCATTTTATAAAAGGATTATGTTAAATGCACTAGAATGGGAGAGTGTGAAATCTAGGCAAAGAAACATCAGTGCAACAACCACCTAAGTCAGAGGGACTGTGCTTGTCCCACGCTGTTTTTCTGTCTCCAGTGTGAATTGCCTTAACTACCCACCAAATCTCTGGATCCATCCAAGACCTTAACTTACTTTGTGGAATATAATAGTGGCAAAGTCCTGATGTGATGCCACGTTTTGACTGTTCATTTTTACTGACTGCTGTAACCCCTAGAAGGAGAGCCACACTTTATACAGGAATTTTTTTCGTTTATAGAGAAAAGCTCTAGAACAAAGAGATGGGGGTGAAGGTTCAAGTGTAAAGTGATACTTGAACGCTGTGGCACGAAGTCCTTGCTTCTTGCTCTCACCACATGTGTCTCACTGCAGCCAGAAGCGTGTGGGTGTGCACATGCACCTCTAAAACCTAAGGCTATTCAGGATGTGATGTCTGCACCACTCGGGTAATTACTGCCATAATGTGGGTGGATGAGATACCAAACTTGCTTCAAATCCATGAGTCTGCAGCGCTAGCAAAATCACTCACTCTTGAAATTAAGTGCAATTTTGAAGATAAACTCAGACTGTGCCCTACAGTAGCAGGCACATATGGTGCCTCAAATGAGACAAGACTTGGACCTGGTTATGGAGAAGCACTTATTTAGCAATCTGTAACACAGTTGTTTTAACTCTGACTTTCACATATTAACAGACATCTTCTTGAAACACTGTGCTCAAAACCCTGCTTATGCCAACAGCTTAAGAACTAGGAAGAAAAGTTGCCAATTTGTAGCTTCTTTAGATGAGTCTTTTTAAAAAGTCATTTAATGTAAAAAAGAAAAAAAAAAAAAAAAAAAAAAAAAAAAAAAAAAAAAAGAGGAAAAAAAAGAAAAAGTTTTGGTATCAGTGGGTTCTTTCACTGATAATTATTTCTTCTCACTAGTTTTCTATTTTTAAAATATCACATGAGAAATGTTAAGCAATTTTTAAGCACAACCCAAACTGTTCTATGAAAAAGGGGTGCGATATACTCTGCAAATATACATATAAGCAAGTAACTAATTTAGTGCATTCCATTTCTTCTGTGATGCAGCAACTTCCAATAATGTTTACATGTGCTCCCTCTACTATTTTTTCCTTAATGAAAAGCATCTGAGTTAAACAACAAATATAAAAGTGTGTACCCTTTGCTTTGCCATAGATTAATGTTCTTGCTTGGTGGGTAACAGAGTATTAAGGAAAAGCAAATGGTTTATTCCTCAGATTTAATAGCATTAATTCTGCTGTCTCCAAGGGTCAGAGATAAACTATCACCACATCAATTATTAGAATTTAGAGGTATTTGTACTGATAATATTCAACAACTGGTATTCTGGATTCTAGCAAAGAGCTGCTCTAAGAAATTCTAATTTACTGAAAAGGCAGGTAGATGTCATTTTCTGACAGGTGAAAAAAGTAAATTACTGGAACGAGACTAGAGCAGAAGCCACTTGAGGGAAGTATTTAGCATGCAGAACAATAAACTGTACCAGAAAGAATTCCTTGTCTTCCAGTTAAGGATTTGGGATAGGTACAGGGCTGCAGTCAGTTATGTATTACCATGTGTTCATTGCCTGTTTGGCA